CATTGTGTAAATTGTTGTCCTCATATTTGTTAAAATGGCAACTTCAAGTGCCGACTTCAGGTGCGTCGTCAGTGTTGTTGCTCCCATATCACTAGAAGTTTCGGGTCCAAATAAACAACATACTTCTTCGATGGGCGACCCGACCGAATACGATCAGTATTCAGCCCGCACCCAGAGTAAATTTGCTACTAACTTTAGGACGTGCCTTATATAATACGAAGTGACTTCTTCCTTTTATCACATGTATCTGTAAAACTCACGCAACTAACATGGTGTTAGAGTGAAACACACCTATTATATAGTTAATAGACTCTCCCACCTAATATAGAGTAGTAATAGAAACGTGGGTCAGTCAGTCAGTCAGTCGACTGGCTGATCGGTTGAACTCTCTGCCTTCGGGCGGGGAAGAACCCGAACGAGGCTACGCCGAAGGGCGGGTTCTCTTTCGGGGGGTTAAACCGACCCTGAACCCGTTTATACGGTTCAATGGGCATATTTTTGGCCGAGACCACGGGCTCGGAGATCCCACGTTAAACCGGCCTTGTGCCACATGATGCCCTCGTGGGAAGGGGGTGACTGCATACCACTCAGTGAGTCGCTCAGTCAGTCGATGCCGGACGATAGTTAGTCGAATACGAACGTATCAGCGACCACAACTAGATTTACTCTGCGTAATACTTATTATATCAAGTTCCTAACGTTTTGTACGTCGAACCTATTTTAGGACCGACTTAGTACAAATACAAACCTCCACTGCGAAATCACTCCACAACACATAGACAGACTCCAGTACAGAAAAATAAATTATATGATTTTAATTTACAGTTTAACATGCTTTTAGCGTTATTTCTGTGTATGTTTTTATCCTTGTGAACGCGAGCCTATTTCTGCTGGTATGATGCGAGTGACGCCACAAAGTTATTGGTCCGTTCCTGGCAACTCGGCTTTAGTCACTTTTCCAGTGTCCGCAATATGCCTTTTCTATAAATATTTTCATGGTAATTGTTCTGATGAGCTTTCTGGGGTTTCACTTTTAAATGTTGATATTTTTATCCCCGCCCCCAACAAAAACACTATAAAATTATACATACTGAAGCAAGTTAGGACTAGATAAAGACTTCCGGATACGATGGCGGATGTAGTAAAAATGGTAAGTGAGAATGTGTTGTTTTGGTGTAAGGTATACTGTGGTATGATTGGGTCAGTAATCATGTCTAAGTTTAAGAAAATACAGATTAAGGACCAACCTTCCCCTATCCACCCTAACTTTGGATTTGTGCCACATTTTTGTATAACTCAAAATAAATATTGCTTACCTCTTTGATACCGAGATTTTATGAATTTAAGTGCAGTACTAGATTGGAAGTTAGGTCTTATCATTTTACAGTTGAAATGGCTAGATGTAACTATAAGTTCTATGCTAACAGTTTCTTAATCTGATGAGTATGTTCATGGTAATTATTCTGATGATCTATCCTTATTGGTACCTAGACTTTATGAATTTAAGAGCAGTACTAGATTGGAAGTTAGGTCTCATCATTTTACAGTTGAAATGGCTAGATGTAAACATAAGTTCTATGCTAACAGTTTCTTAATTATTCTGATGATCTATCCTGTTTAGTTCCTAGAATTTACGAATTAAAGTGCAGTACTAGATTGTCAGTTAGGTCTCATTATTTTACAGTTGTAATGCCTAGATGTAACCGCATTTTCGATGCTAACTTTTTCTTCTAACGCAGTTCTCGCTTGCAGAACCCTCTTATGGCTTATTGCTTTTCAGTCAACTTTGATCTTCAAATTGTATATGCAATGTCTATCGTTATCTTTTGTCATTGCCCCCCTACCTCATTTTCATTTTCGTTGCCCCCCTCTCTCCTAAATAAAATCCTTTAACCAGTAACCACCTACCTGTTAATCTAATTTCCTCCAGCAATGTTTCAAATAGCTTAGTAGACTAGGCTCTTTTGACTTGGTTAGAAACCATCCTAGGAGAAGAAAACCTCTAAATACAAATCTGAGGAAGTTTATTCGGAGACATCGTGCCATACCGTCTTCTACTTTTCTGTTAGGAGTTCTTCCGAAAATTGAGGGTATTTCAGCACAAGCCTTCACCACTGTAAACGAAGCAGGCATATGTATACTATAGTATACTATATATATATCGTATACGTGAAACCTCGGTAGGTTTGTCTGGCTCTTTAGGTTCATAGTTAGGTTTGCTCAACTTAGTGTATTCAGCACTTTACATAGTTACTTTTGCTTTTTTGTTTTTTTTTTAAACTTTGAGCTTAGATTCTGGACGATTGTTTTCGCCTCAATTACATGTTCTTAGTTCTTTCTTTTTTATCCCTTATTTTCCCTTGGGCATTGGTTTGTTCATCAAGCCAAAATACCTAAGTTTTTTCCAAACAAGTATTATAATATATATATATATATATATATATATATATATATATATATATATATATATACTATACTATATATAGTAGAGGTTTATATCTAAGCCAAATTGTGGAAATTAATTTTAAATCCCTAGGTGACTTTTGGCACATCATATATATATATATATATATGTTTTTTTTTTCATCCACAGACAGACTGCTTCGCTGTATCATAGCTCATCAGTGTGGCTAGACATCTGGTTGCCTCTATCTAGGATTGAAATCGGCTGAATTGTCTTCAGTCTGAGATCCTACCCTTAAGTCTTTGAACAGGAATGAAGATGAATTTAAGCGTATTTATATTCAGATGAACACACAGTGACTGAGAGAAGCTAATTCATTTTTCCTAAGAGTCTTGCATTATTAGCAGTAATAGTCACTGTTTACAAACTCACACTTTCTCTCCAGAGAGCTCAACCGAAATAAATTTTTCAGGAGCATATATAGTCATCCACAGAAAGACTGTTTCGTTGTATCACAGCTCATCGGTGTGGCTAGATCCGGTTTCCTCTAGATAGATTGACAAACTATCCCTGGTGTTCACCCAGTGACAGATTGTTTCATGCTTTAAACATGGTCATATGTGAAAGTTTTTAAAACTGTTATGTTTTTTTTTTTTTATTAAATAATAATAAAAAAGAAAAAGCCAACTCTTAACAATATTAACTACAAACCAGGCCACAATGTGCTAACCGTATTCGGAAATTAAAAAAAACATCGCTATAAATACTAAAGCATACACATAATACAATAATTTTAATTGCCGAAAATTGAATCGTCCTTGATAATGGCTTAAATGTATAGCCGAAAGTTTCGGAACTATAAAACATTTGAACAGTTTTTACACAATTTTGTCCAGAAAAGGAAGCTTTTGTTCGAACACATGAAAAATTAAATAAAAAAGATTAAACGTAGTACCTTGTCTGTCGTTTTAATGAAACATATATATATATATATATATATATATATATATATATATATATATATATATATATATATATATATATATTTATATATATATGTGTGTGTAGGGGGTGTATTCAGTGTATATGTGTGTGTGTTATAGTGTGTGTAGCTAATAAATAATGGACAGATGCAATTTTAGCGAATATTAACTGAGGAAGTATTAAATAATCTATAATTTAAATCAAATCAAATATGATGACTTTGAAATTAATTTCAAGTTGAAAAAATAGATAGAGAAAAACAAAAACAGAAAACACGTGAAAAGAACTTTATAACGTGTATTTTTTTAAAAATTTTGGGTTGAACAATTCAATAGGCAAAGATGTCAGGGTAAAAACTAATAATTTGTTCATGTCTGTCGCGGTATATAGTGCATATATCTATCTTTTTATATATTACAATATTTTCATATGTGGCTATTTGCAATCTCTTTATATATATCTATCTATCTATCGCACTCTTCATATCTATCTATCTATCTATCTATCTATCTATCTATTCCTTAACTATCTATCGCACTCTTTTGATATCTATCTATCTATCTATCTATCTATCTATCTATTCCTTAACTATCTATCGCAAATAAAATTTGATATCTATCTATCTATCTATCTATCTATCTATTCATCTATCTATTTATATCTATTCCTTTAACTATCTATCGCACTTTTTTGATATCTATCTATCTATCTATCTATCTATCTATCTATCTATCTATTCCTTAACTATCTATCGCACTCTTTTGATATCTATCTATCTATCTATCAATCTATCTATCTATCTATCTATTCCTTAACTATCTATCGCACTCTTTTGATATCTATCTATCTATCTATCTATCTATCTATCTATCTATCTATCTATTCCTTAACTATCTATCGCACTCTTTTGATATCTATCTATCTATCTATCTATCTATCTATCTATCTATCTATCTATCTCAGTCTATTTCATAACTATCTATCGTACACTTTTGATTATCTATCTATCTATCTATCTATCTATCTATATCTATCTATTTCAGTCTATTTCTTAACTTTCTCTCGCACTCTTTTGATATCTATCTATGTATCTATCTATCTATCTATCTATCTATCTATCTATCTATCTATGTCAGCCGATTCATTATCTGTCCATCTATTTATCTATTCTTGTCTATTCATATCAATTCTTCAAACAATCAACTGATACAGATGTGGATACGCAAGCACAATTGATATCTTTTGTCCTCGCCTCTTCTTCTCTCTCGATCTATAAATATTAATTGTTTATATATATATATACATAATATATATATATATATATATATATATATATATATATATATATATATATATATATATATATATATATATATATATATGTATGTATGTATATATAATTGCTGTGTAATCGTCCTGTTTCCCTGCTGAATCCATGCATTTTTCATAATTGTAAAAATCGAGCATATGTTCCATATGTAAAAAAACTGATAACGACGGCCCAATAAGGCATCATAGAAAATATGGCCGCCGAAACAGCATTTGGGGTGGTTATGAGTAATTGGTAGTGTTCGATACGATCTGTACTGGAGGATCGATCACCTCTTGACTAATGAGTCACGGGATCTATTTCGGCTGGGTACGCTTCGTCACCGCCTCCTTTTACTCTCCCCGTCTCATTTCCCCTCTCTCTATCCCCCTCTCCTCATCCTCGGGGGTGGAGGGCATTATCAGGAAGAATAATCTTATATTCTTTCGAATTCCCGCGCACGCTCTTTCCTTACCCACCAATCGAGAATATCTCGATTTTTTTCCCCCTAATTCTTGTTTGTTGTGTTTTCTGACGAGGTAAACATTGAAGAACGCTTTCATTTAGGCCCCTGTCAAGGTTGAAGTTGGTCGTAGCAGCCTTGGATTGCCAGCTAGGGCAGTTCAGATATTAAGAGACAAAATGAGTAATGGATTGCGTCTCGTAATGAGAAAACGGAGACCTTGTTCGACTTCGTGTCGGGCTCGTTCACGTACCTGCGAATATTCTTAAAAAAAAAGTTCTGAATCTATTTCCCTCCACCAACCTTGTGTTAAATAGTTGAACTTTCATCTCAAAAATATAGTCATTCTCTTTTGTGATATCAACAAACACTCGTTGCCACTTTTGTGATGTCGCAAATATTCGTTGTCACTTTCGTAATGCTCGTTGTAGTAGAGACTTTGTAATCGCAGATACAACTATAGTAACGCCGTTGAACAATACTGGTGTCAGACGCCTTCGAATATCACACGCACTAATAGTACTTGATCGATAATGCAAGCACGAATAGTATAGTGATCCGAAGAGAGAAATAGTATAGTGAATAGAGTAGAGAATAGCGCTCCGTATCATTGTTCTGACCAAGTAAATGGTTAAGTAATAACAAAAACAAGGTTTACAGATATATCGTATATTAAACAGTAAATACACCAGAAGACTATTACATGACTAATGGTAGTGTATCAAATGAACTAACGCACAATCTATTCACCGTTCCCTGAACCTTCTCTCCGAGTAATCTTATAGTAGGCGGAAGAGTCTAACATAAACTCCTTAGAGGAAGGATTCCACAATGTATATATATATATATATATATATATATATATATATATATATATTGATGTACAAGTAAATGGTTAAGTAATAACAAAGAAACAGGTTTGCAGATATATCGTATATTAAACAGTAAATACAACAGAAGACTATTACACGACTAATGGTAGTGTATCAAATGAACTAACGCTCAATCTATTCACCGTTCCCTCCACCTTCTCTCCGTCTAATCTTATAGTAGGCGGAAGAGTCTAACATAGACTCTTAGAGGGAGGACACCACAACACCCCCTTTACAGCCTGACTCCTTATGGAGTCTTTTCTTTTTTTTATAATTACCACATAATACTTTTTATTCAACACTTTTTCACACATGCACAAAGAAATCACAAACAACCACTTTGAAAACGCTATATACAGGAATTACGTTTACAATTTTTTTTTTAATGATTATAATTTCCAATAATCTAATGCGTATTGTGATTTTCTGGTAATTCAACGTTCATAATTGAGAATATGTTTTCTTTTTTTGCTGACATGGTATGAAATGAAAGATTGAAATGAAAGATATTCAATATCTTTTCTTTTACGGGTTAATTTCTAAAGGTTCCGTTAATTTCTTTTTCTTTTGCCCATTCTGAACTCTCAAACCATTCTTGGTAGAAAAAACGTTGTAATAATTGTCAAGACCTAAAAAAACTTTGAAAGCCCGAATCATTTTTTGGTGCTGGCATATTCTTCATTGCCGTTGCCCTATCTGGGTTGGGACGTCTTCTGTCTTTGACAATTATTTGAACCAACTGCTTAATCCGCTCTAAGAAATACTCACACTTCCTGTCTTTTAATTTGAATCCGTAATCCTGAATTCTTTTGAACATCTGCCAAACGTGCGATTTGTGTTCCTCGATGCTCGCGCTTTTCATTAAGACGTCATCGAGATAGGTCACAGCAAAATCCAAACCATTTAACATCGTGTCCCTGACCTGTTGAAAAATGAAAGGAGAGACCTGAACTCCGAACGGAAGTGTTAAAAAATTTGTATAAATCCTTGTGGGTGTTAATGTAAAGGAGCTTCGGGCATTCCTCATCCATAGGTATTTGTAGATATGCATCGCTGAAGTCGATCTTAGACAAATATTTTCCTCCACTGAGCTTAGCGAATATCTCCTCTGGACTTGGAAGGGGATAATGGTGACCTTTAGGTTGTTGTTCAGTCCTGTAAAGAAGTCAGCACATACACGAATTTCTTTGTCCTTTTGCTTAATATAAACTTTGCCAGAACTCCTATTTCCTCAAGTCGATTCAATTCTTAGTCAATTCGATTTAACGAGGCAAATGTAACGTTGGTTTTTTTCTTAAAAAATGGGTTTACGTTTAGCTTTAAACTTAGCAGACATTTTGGTGCATTTTCCTGAAATGAAAACGCCGGGAAAATGCTTTTTAAGTTCACCTTTCAACTTTTCTGCTTCGTCAGTCAAATTTTCGAGATTTTGACATAAGGAGTTAATAGGTATATCCCAAAGTTGAAACCGCTCTAACCAATCAGTCCCGATCAAATTACTGCCATTCTTAATAATATACGCCTTTAGTTTTAAAGTTTTGCCTTTAAATGTTGTGTTCGCCCATAAGCTTAATAGTGTCACCAGTTACTCTTTTAGCGATTCGGTTCGTTCTTAACAAAGTCGGCTTACCCATTTTTGATAATTAATTATGGATAAGTCTGAAACCGAATCAAACTCTAGCCTTATATTTTGCGCTCAATATATTTCCTGATATCACGACTATCTTGTTCATCAGACTTGGTAATTTTTACATTTTTTTTTTTGCCTTTTTCTTAATCCTGCAGTGGGAACTTTTACGTCCAAATTTATCGCAATTAAAAAAAAATTATGTTTAAAAGGCCAATCTCTATACCTATGTAAATAACCACACCCGAAACATGGTTTTGAAGGTAAAGTAACTTTATTCTTTTTTGGTTGGCGTATTTTTTAATTTTTCTTTGGCGTATTTTTAATGTGAGCCACGCCACTGTTCGATAGTTTTCGAATCCTCTCTGACGCATTATCATTGTCGAAGCTAGCCATGGGCGGAAACATTTCAAACACATGGCTTACCTTCGCAGCCATGGTCCAAATCTGACCAGTCACGCATTCTCGAACCACTGTCAAAACCCTTTTAGCATTTGGAATGTTTCTAGGGTCTTCTACATCCAATGTAGCCATATGTTGTTTGACAAAAGTGGAAGATGGCGCCGAGGAAGAAGGGGCAGTTTTTCCAGGTGCTTTATATCATTTAGTTTTCAAACCTTCTGTCAGATGTATGTGTCTTTTGCTGTAAGGACATCGGTGGAATGAGGTCCCACTGCCTGTAGCTTCCCTTTAGCCCTGCCGACGACCTGCCATTCAAGCGGAGGGAAAAAGCTTTTTGTGTAATGGGGGCCGTGAGATGGACCCAAACGAGGGTTTTACCACATCGGTCCCGGTCACTGGCCTGCACATTCAGACGAGACGGAAACAACAGACTCGACCAGAGAGGTATTTGGGTCGGCTGGGGCCAGAACTCCAGAGGTCTTCTTCTCTTGGCAGGAAGAGGAGAGGGGGCCAGTCGCTCCACACTTCCAGCATGTTGGTTTACGGCCGGTCACAATAACCGGCATTTTCTGGCCCTCCACACCAAGATAGTTGGGAATGGAGATGAAGGTCTGGTGACCGATCATAATTTCGAAATTCCATCCCCAGTCAGATTGTTAGAAGAAGCACCAAGTAACTGCCTAAGTTGGGGAAAATAAGCTGCCAAGTGTTCACCAACGTTCTGAGGAGGAACCTCAAATATTAATACAGGGGGGCCTACGCTTGCCCTCATATTCCGTTCTTAGTATGAGGTCTTTTGTTATTTAAGTCCCGATTAGATATATCTTCACAGTCGGCAGGCGTGAGTAAAAATACGTCCCATATGACGTATCCTTTACCTTTAATGACTCTTTGGGGTTTCATTCCCAGAGACGTCAACGATTTGAAAACGGTGTCTTTTGTGAAGCGTCAAATTTCGCGCGAACACTTGTACACCACAAAGGCACAATGCATTTATCAATCTTCTTCAGTTCAAAGGGATTAGCCAAGAGCCCATCTTTCAACAAATGTGCGTAACTCTTGGCCCTCTTGAGGAAAACCATCATATTGAATTTGCATTTCGGTGAGGAATTCCAGCAAGAGGACATTATCCCGACCGCTACCTCTTTGTTTGTCTTATGTTCGTTGAGTTTTTCACTAATCTTTTCTTTTAAATTACGGCCTTTATCGGCCACCATATTTTTCTTTGTATCCTTACCATGGACATTGGTATCCACAGCAATATTTGTATTATCGGACAACATACAGTCGTCTGTACTTTTTCCCCATTCCCGTTATGTTTCTTCTATTTTCCTAATTTTGGTTATCCTCTGCCACCATACTTTTTCTTGTCTGTTGATCATTGATGTCGTCATCATTTTTATTTTTACCCTTATCAGGAATGTTTTCTTTTTCTTTGACCCGAACAGATTTTTGAGGCCGACTTATGTTTGTCAGGCATATTGCTTTTTATTAAGAAAACACTTTTTTCCTTTTAAATGAAAGGGAAACAAAAAAAAGTAAAAAGAAAACAATTCAGACAAATAAAAAATAATCACAAATTACTTCAACAACAGTAAGAAATTAAACAAATTTAACAAAAAAACCCCAAAAAAACAAAAACACGAAAAACAGTTGGACGTAAAAAGTGGTCACAAAATGAGAGAGACAAGAAAAACTTTAGTCTTTAAAAAAAAGTAATATAAGTGGACAGGGAATGAATAAAAGCGTAACTAAAGTAGAATTGGCTGCTTGGAATGTTTCCTTATAAAGAAAAGGCTGTTATGACCATTAGAGATGAGGAGAACAGATACTACACTTTGAAACCATCCTGATGGCCAGGGAGGAAAGAAAAGCATAACTAAAGTAGAATTGGCTGCTTCCTTATAAAGAAAAGGCTGATATGACCATTAAAGATGAGGAGAACAGATAATAAATTTGATCCCATCCTGACGACCAAGAAGGAAAGAAAAGCGTAACTAGAGTAGAACTGACTGCTTGGAATGTTTACTTATAAAGAAAAGGCTGATATGACCATTACAGATTAGGAGAACAGATACTACACTTTGATCCCATCCTGATGGCCAAGGAGAAAAGAAAAGCGTAACTCGAGTAGAATTGGGCGCTTGGAATGTTTCCTTATAAAGAAAAGGCTGATATTACCATTAGAGGTGAGGCGAACAGATACTACACTTTGATCCCATCCTGATGACCAAGGAGGAAAGAAAAGCGTAACTAGGTAATTCGACCGCGGGAATAGAAGTGTACTACTAGACTGGCAATTAGGCCTCATCATTTTAATGTTGAATGAGCTAGATTTAACCGTAAGTTCTATCCCAGTAGTTTCTTCTCTCGCACTTCTTGTCTGTGAAATTCCTTTCCGATTTATCTCTTCCCTGCTAACTATAATCTTCACAAATTTAAATGCAACGTCAATCGCCATCTTCTGTCTTCCTGAAGCTGTTCTTTTAGTCTCCTTTCTCCTCACTAAAGTATTTTCATTCTACTTCACACCAGGTAACCGCTTTCGTCTTAGAGGCTTTATCGCCTTGCTTGATGTGTGATGATAAAAAACAAAAAATTAAAAAAACGAAAACACTAAGTGTTTAATAAATAGGAAATATATTTATTTATGGTATTTCATTAAAATCCTTTAGCCGGCGATATCTCTTGCTATTAAAATCCTTTAGCCGGCGATATCTCTTGCTATTAAAATCCTTTAGCCGGCGATATCTCTTGCTATTAAAATCCTTTAGCCGGCGATATCTCTTGCTATTGGACACTTTGCAGCGGATTCTTATAATATAATACATAATATATAATACATAACGGCTGAGAGAAGGGCTCCAATCGTTCTACTTGAGCAAGACGAACTACACATTAATAAATTACTCCCTGATTCTCAGATCAGGGACTCATAAAAACAAAGACGATCATGAAAGAATTTTGAATCCGTGCCTACGACCCTATGGTCCGCTTACGCTATGTTAATGGGCTCAACAAACTCTTGCTGTATTCAAGTATTGAATTTGCGAAAGGTATTCGGACATCGTTACATCTTCTGACCGTTGACAATGTTTCTTATTTTTGGCTACGGATGACGCATCTCCGATAAAGGATTCAAGTTGGTTCGTCTCTTGGAAGAAACTGGTTATCTTTGAGACGACATGGCCTGGGTTTAGCGGTCTGGATGGTGCTAACGATATGTCTAAAAGAGATATGAGAATAATACAT